TCTTGTAACTCTTCTAATCTTCGGCACTTATATCACGTTGTTGTGTTGCAAGTGCTGTAAAACTTTTACTAGTACAAAAACAAGTCCCCTTCTCACACGCTCTTGATGTTCTGCGTCACTTCCTGACCTGGCCGGCCGTACTGTCGCCTGTTTCCGGTTTCCGCCACGACTCCCGACGTGTGAGTTACCAGCCACAGCACTCATTCTTCCTGCTCTGTTGATCTTGACCTTTATAAATACCTGTACATGTATTGCATTTTACTATGTTTAAGTTGCCCTGACCACTTGCGGTACGTTCTAGAATGGTGTGTTTCTGTTTGTCTCTTTCTGTTTCTATTCTGTCTTAACTTGTTCCTGGTGAAAGGATGCCGCCATTGTGTGTGTGCGTGTGTGTGTGAGAGAGAGGGGGGGGGAGCATGGTGGGTGGCAGAGGGTAGATATGCTGAAAGGAGGCGAAAGGGGAGGGGGTGCAGGGAGTGTGTGGAAAAAAAGAGTATGAGGGAGAGGAGTGGGAGTGAGGTATGCTGCGCGGCTCACTGACCGGTCGGCAGATCTTGACCTCCCCCCAATGACCCGCTTCCTCGATGAGGTGGATGGGTCTTTGTCCTGAGCTCGAAACTCTGCACTGGTGGGTGATTGGAGGCCGGCCGTGGAGTGAAGAAATTTCTTATAAATTCATTTCATAGTCGGCGAGAGTGATGCGCGTCACTCAATCTATCAGCCATGAGAGAGAGGGGGAGAGAGAGAGAGAGAGAGAGAGAGAGAGAGAGAGAGAGAGAGAGAGAGAGAGAGAGAGAGAGAGAGAGGGAGAGGGATGGGGGAGGGAGAGGGATGGGGGGGTGGGAGAGGAAGAGTGAGGAGGGGAGAGGAGAGGAAGTTTTGAAGATGACTAGTCAAGAAGCCTACAGCGTCGCCCTAATTGAGTATTGGACCAGACTTTTGACTTGTGAGATCCAGATTAGCCACTGTCTTTTGCACCGTGTTTTCATTTTAAACGATAGAAATCTCAACAATAGTCGCGTGTACTTGATGCGAACACCCTGGTGTGGCGTGTCCCTTCTTCCTTTGGGTGTTCCTGTGGTTCTACCCAGACACCGTAATCATTGGTCCTACCAGTCTACTGAGTCTATTTCCTGGCGTTGTTTAGCCGTTGTAGTTCTGACATGTCACATTTTTAACTTCTGAAAAACTCAGACAGAAACAAAACAAGTTGCGTGTGGTTTGGCCTCCTTTTTTTTCTTTCCCCATGTCTTGTCTTGTCCGTCTTACTTTTCCCCTGTACTAAATGAGCATCAATTTGCAAACGCCGTAAAACCTTACTAAAACAAACAAAAACAAATGAGCTTCAATGTGTCGACGTGCTCCCCTTTGCTTCAAACAATAAGCAAACAACAAGTTAATTCATGTCCTTCACTCTCAGATGAACCACCCAGTAGCCGTACGTCCCCCAGACTCCCCTCCGTGGAGTGTTGTGAAGAGTGTATCGGTCTTCGTCTGACATGCATTTTCGTTTTGTTTGAGTAAGAGTTTTACGGCACTTGCAACACAATTAGGGCACATATGTAAGTGCCGAAAGTTAGAGATGTTACTTGAGAGTATTGTGCAAAGCAAGGGAGGGGGGAATATAAGGACGATAATTTAATGTGAATATACATGGCGTTATAATGTTTGATAGGAAAGAAGGAGCACACCACTCCAGAACGCCCGCCAACCACCCACCCTGCTATCTATGAGCCTTTTGTCGTAAGCCCCGAGGTTTGGTATCACCAAGGAGCCTAGAACAAATTTATAACCATCTTGGATATTATCACCAGAGTTTGCCTGTGTGCCCCACGGGTGGGAGGATAACACTGGCCAAGTGTGTGTGTTTTTGGCCCCGGCGTGAAGGCGCTGTCCCAGATGGGCCTCGCGGTGAAGGGACCAATCATACTCAATCACGCCTCACTCATACCTCGAGGGCTTTGTCATCCTTAGGGGGTGACGGGGAGATAGGGTAGGCCGATTTCTGCTTCTGCCTTGGTCGCTCGTGACAACCACTTTTCCTTTTATCGCGACCCGACGTCGAGTTAATGGGAAGTCAATTATCCCCCCGCTGTCGATATTTCATCCTGTTCAAGCGTGCGCGCATACTCATACACATACACGTGTACACATACGCGCACACACACATACAAACGCACACGCACACCTACATAACATACATACATACGCACACAGAGGGTGGGAGAGAGACAAAGAAAGAGATACGGACAGGCAGTCGCACTCATGGACACATATTATATCCGATATTAAGAGATTTGCGTTTGATTTTGATTGTATTTGTATTTGGTTTTCCAAATTGCTCTTTTTTCCAAGCGTTTTTATTGAATCTGTTTTCTGTCACTGGACATGGCCCACAGGTTCTCTCTCCCTCATGTTGTCTGTCTCTCACACACTCACTAACGCGCGCTGGGGTACACATGCACCGGCGCACACACCCAGACCTGCTCACTCATGCGAACACAGCAGGCGCTCTTTATTATCTCCCCTCTTTCTCACCTGTTTCTTTCTTTTAAGCTCTTTCTCTCCTCTCTCCTCTCTCCTCTCTCCTCTCTCCTCTCTCCTCTCTCCTCTCTTGTTCTCTTCTCTCCTCTGTCTTTTCCCCTTTTTCCATTGCTATTTCCCAGAAGTATTCACTTGAGACAACGCGTGGCCTGGGCCCACCAGCAAAGAAGGTAGAATGCCCTAGAGCCCTCAGGGGTTGCCGTCCTTACTACCAAACCCCCGCCCCCAAACCCCCGCCCGGCCCCGCCCCGTGGGCTGCCTTGTGTGTTCGCAATTGACCAGGAGAATAATTACAGGCTGACCGGACCGCGCAAGCTTGCGTCAGCCGACACCTTGATGCCCCGGCGGAACTGATGAACCCGAGGGCGCCTAGTTTTGTTTGACCCAGGCGTCCT